TTACAGAAAGGCATGAATACCAGGAGGCAGATATCTTGGACGGCCATCATAGACGCTGTCTAGTACAAACGAGATAACAAACGATGCTGCCTTACAGATTTTCATATATATATATTGTGGCGTACAGCATATCAGGTTGTGCACCTCGGCATGGAGTTTTTAGGTCTTAGGGCATGTGAATCTTCAACTTTCCGTGACAATGCAAAACTTTCCCCAAGTGGTTATACCAATCACATTCCCACTAACAACAAGTGAAAATTCTGGTTTCTCCGTATCATCACCAACACTTTTTATTATCAGACATTTTATTTTTGGCCACTATGATTTATGTAATATGTGATGTATTATAGCTTTAATTTGCATTTCTAAGATTACTAATGAGGTGTGGCACTTTTTCATTTATTTATTGGTCATCTTGGATTTCCTGTTTTATGAAGTATCTGCCGGTATCTTTTGTCTGTTTTTCTACTGACTTTTCTTACTGATTTGTGTGAGTTCTCAATATAATCTGCATGCTTGGGCTTTGACAGTTACATGTGTTGCAGGCATCTTCTCCAGCTTTGTTTCCTATCATTTACTCTTTTAAATCTGTCTTTTGATAAACACCAAATCTCAATTTTAAAACAGCTGAATTTATCAGTCTTTCCCTTTATGAATTCTTGGACTAAGCCTGTCTTCCAGCTATTGTTTTCCACCTGTCTTCAACTGTACCCCCATCTTGATGCCCCCCTATTGTCTCCATAAAAACATCTCTTCTATTCTCTGGACACATGAGTTTGACTGCTCACTCGATGGCTCCACCTCCATATCCCACAGACAGTCCAACACCAGTTTACCCCAAACTGAACTCACCCCTCCAAGTTCACCTGCTACCACCCTACCACCCCTAATTTGTATTTTCTAACTCCATGACTGACACAACTATCCACCAATCACAAAGCCAGTGTCCTGTGAAATTGCCTTGACCACTCTTTCTTTTATAAGGATCCATTTTTTCTGATTCCACAATCTAAACCTTGCCCCACTCTGTCTTCTCCTCCATGTCTCCAATGCCAGAATGTAAGTTCCATGAGACCAGGGACCTTGTCCAGCTTGTTCATTACCACAACATCAGTAACCGATAGTGCTTAACAGCATGAATTCTGGAGCCCGATTACCTGATTCAAATCCTGACTCTGTCAATTATTAACTATCTAAGTAAGAAAGTTATGTGACCTCTTCTCCCTCAGTTTCCCCATTGGTAAAATTGGGGATGTTCATAGTACTGATTCATAGGGTTGTGGTGAGGGTTGAATCAGTTAATGCATGTATGGTACTTAGAAAAGAACAGGGCACATAGTAAGCACTCAATAAATATTGACTATTATACCACCTAGCATGGTGGTAGGGTATAATATTAATAGTCAATATTAACATTAATAGTCAATATTTATTGAGTGCTTACTATGTGTCCTGTTCTTTTCTAAGTTCTATTATACCCTAGCATGGGTGGTAGGGTAAATTATTACGCATCAAAATATATTTTAAGCATCAAAAAATATTTATCATCAAAAGCTAAGCATCAAAAATATTTATCAACAGAAATGAATGAATGCCACTGCTCTCATTTAGACTCATTATCTTTGCTTAGACAATTGCAGTAGTCTCCTAACCGGGCTCACTTTCTACTAACCATCCCATCTCTCATTCCACTCATTCTATGCACTGCCATTAGGGTTATAACTTCTTGTATAGAAACATGAAGGTGTGGTGTCATGCCATTGCTTAACACCATCCTGTGGATCCCAAACTTCACAGGGAGGTAGAGCAAAGTCCAAACTCTTCAGCAGAACGCAGGTGCATGAACGTGTAACCTGGCGATTGCCTACCTAGCTCTTCTCCCACCCCCACACTCCATTTACCTGCACTCCATTTACCAAACACACTGCACTCACACACACACAACCTGCACTCCATTTACCAAACCACCGGTAGTTCCCAAATGAGCCACATCACATTCCTTCATTCCTCTCCTGCCCAGAATGCCCTCTCTCTGCCCTGTCCAGCGGACAAAATCATTTTCTTTTTACTCCAGCAACTACATCAAGTCCCAGATGTAGGCACTTCCAGGCAGAGTTAGACACATACATTATTACAGCATTTATCAAATTACATTATAACTATTTATTTACCTGTCCACCCCCACTCCCCCAGGCTCCTGAGAGCCAGATCATATTTAGATTTGTATTTCTGGCAAGAAGCACAAGGGCTATGGAAGCTTAATATACATCTGTTGAATGGATGGTTAGTTTTAAGAAGTACCTAATAAACCCTGGTATTTGTATTTCCTTGAATCTTGTTTTGGTTGCTGCCTTTTTTTTTTTTTAATAGAAATAGTCACTGCTGCTTATGTTTACAAGTTTATTGAGTTCTAATTTTATCCTTTAAAATGAAGATTGCTGGTATCATTCATTCACTCATGCATTCATCAACAAATATTTATTGGGAAACACTTGTCAGATACTGGATTTGAGGTGAACAAATTAGACATGGCCCCTACCCTCATGAAACTTACAGTCTATTAAATCTATTAAATATGAAGGACAGACTGACCTTGAACAATAAACATATCCATGTAAAATAATCATTTGAAGTCAGAGTCATGAAGGAAAAGAATAGGCTATAAAGAGGAAGAATAACAATAGAAAAAAAAATTTTTTTTTTTAATGGAGTCTCACTCTGTCACCCAGGTTGGAGTGCAGTGGTGTCATCTCGGCTCACTGCAACCTCCACCTCCAGGGTTCAAGCTATTCTCCTGCCTTAGCCTCCTAAGTAGCTGTGATTACAGGCACGCACCCCCACACCTAGCTAATTTTTGTATTTTTAGTAGAGACGGGGTTTCACCATGCTGGTCAGGCTGGTCTCAAACTCCTGACCTCGTGATCCACCCACCTCAGCCTCCCAAACTGCTGGGATTACAGGTGTGAGCCACTGTGCCCGCTGGGGACCTAATTTAGATAGAACAGTTAGGGAACTTTATTTGAAGAAGTTACGTTAGAGGCAACACTAAAAGATGGGTAGGAGTAAGCCGTGCAAAGTCATGGAGAAAGAGCATTCCAGGCAGAAGGAACAGCATGTGTGAAGACCTTAAGCAAGTGGAAGGCGGCTGCTGAGGCTGGAGCCTGGGAGGTGGGGGCTGGGAGTAGACGAGCCTAGAGAAGTTGTCAGGGGCCAGATGATGGGGTAGTTCATAGGGAAGGCACTGAAGGTTTAACATGTGGGAGCGACAGAACCTCTGGCAGGGCTAGGCCTGTGAGCACCACATGGCACCCTGAGGATGTGTGTGCTACTCTAGGCTTCAGTGGAGAAAAAAGCAAGTGACAACCCTTCTGTCCCTACTCAGCAAAAGCTCTGATCATCAGCCCCCTTCCCCTGAACATACAGAAGAAAAATAATGGAAGTGCATTTCAAGGGTCGCATGTGAGAAGACCCTAAGCTGCCCTGGCTGTTCAGGTGGAAGTTGTTCTCCTCCGCAGTGACCTCGGCTGTTGGAAGACATGGTTAGGCAGACAGAATCTAAGAGTTCTTCCAGGTATGACATAAGTCCCTGGAGCTCAGTGACAGAAACCAGTATCCAAAGCCAGATGCCATCCTGGGGAGGGGGACTTTGGACGTTCCTGGAAGGCCGTAACACCGCCCGGAAGGCTCCTCTTTCCCACATATTCACAAAGCTCCATGGTGAGCCAGGCAGTGCTGGTCTTGCAGTGTCCACCTATGATGCGAGGTAAACAGTGCCACACGTCAAGCTGTCCCCAGCCTTGCCCTCGCTTCCACTACCAAAAGAGGGAACACTGGGATTGCCCCAGCAAGGTGTTATTTATGTCAGGCTAGGGCCACTGTGACTCCCAGCTCTTACTACTTTCTAGGTGCCCTTACAGACCTCCCCACTCCCCCCGACTATACCAGCGTGTGAACACCCTCTCCCTCTCCACAGCCCCCCACAGTGGGGTTTGGGTGGGCAGGGAGGTGGCTTCATCCCTCTACATGCAGCCCTTGGAGACCTACTTAGACTATTTGTCACTCAGGCTTCAAGATGCCAGCCAAGGAAGGGAGCTGAGAAGACTCTATAATGAGATCTTTGCGCTGTAATTAAGTGCCAGGCTTTGTTTTACACCTGTCTTTCCCACCTCCCCCGATCCTGTCGCCAAGCTCCTCCAGGCAGTGAGTGGGGAGTGTCAGCTGCTCTGCGATTACATCCCAAGTGGCAGGTGGCAGGGAGCTCCTCTGTCTGCAGTCTGCACCCCACCCCCAGGCTTCCCCCACCACCAGTCTTAACTAAGACAGTGCCATTTCTGTCCTTGAACTGGGTTTCACCCCAGAGAGCCACTCCACTTCTCATAAGGCTACCTCCGTTTAACCCTCTGGTGGCAGGGCCTCTGAGGTGTCCATTTCTTTCTTTTGACATGTTCCTTTTCCTGAAAGTTTCAGCAAACCCCAACAGCAGAGAGGGTGAGAAAAAGGAAAAGAGAAGTTAGGGCAGAAGGAGCACTGTTCTTAGAGGACAGGAAGGGTCTGTCTTCTCTCTGGTCCTCCACACAAAATCGGGGTTTCCTTCTGAAACATCCCAGCTCCCAAATATATGCAGTAGATTCTGCTGACAGAAGTGTGTCATTGTGATCTTCACATTTGAGCCTGAAGTTTAGCCTAGCTGAAGAAGCAGCAGATTGGGAGTCAGAGAACATGCGATGGAGCTCCTCTTTGACCCAGCTGTGCTTTTGGGCAACACTTCAGGTCTTCGGCCTGGGCTTCCTCCTCTGTACGATGAGGAGAGGATGGGAAGGGGCAGTGTTGGCCGGGGTGATCTCGATGGATACTGTGGGAGTCTACAGAGGCCGCAACATAACCTCTGCCTACTCTCCCCAGGCCTGGCCTCCCACAGCCCTCAGAGAAAGCCCTTCCCTGGGATGGGGGCGTGGTCGAGACGGGGCGTGGCCTGGCCGGTGGGTGGGCCCTTACGTCGGCGGGGCCGCGGGGCTTTCCGGGACCCGGGCGAGGGCGCCACTTCTGCTGCCTGGAAGAGCGAGCCCACGCGCCGACGGTGCAGGGAGGCGTCCCAGAGGTGAGCGCCCTGCAGCGGCAGGGGACGGGCCGGGGCCCTAAGTCACAGGCGGCGCAGGGCGGGGACGCGGCTGCCAGCGGCGGTCAGACGCCTCTCCACCCTTCTCCCGGGCTGTCCCGGTCTGTTTCACCAGTCTATTTCCAATTTTCCTATTTCCCAGGGAGGCGGCCCTCCTGCCCCACAGCACCCCCGAGACGTGGAGTCCCTCGGCCCAGGGGTGGGGTGAGGGTGTCATGTGGATGCCCTGTGCCTGGCAGGTTGGAGACCTTGGCAGTGACGAAGTCACTCACATTCCTGCCTTGAAACAGAGCGGGTTCCTCTTGTGCAGTCTGTCACCCTCGCCCCCACCCTGTAGAAGTGGCTGGTAGCTTGTCCCCAGTCACTTGTTCCTTGGAAAAGGAAGTCAGAGGGCCACCTCCAGCAGGGCCATGGAAATCCCAGAAAGTCACTGATCTGCTTGACAAAAATCCCTAAACACCCCACCCCACAGCACCAGGCAATGCACCCTGGCCAAAACTCCGTGGTAAATATTGCTGGCCTTTATGTTGAGAGGGGGGAAAACAAAAGTCTGCCTGTGAAGATCATCGCCCTGTGCCTACACTCCTGTGAAACCACAATTGGAAAGCCATTTCCTAAGGGGCAAGGGTGGGTTTGGGACTACACCATAGCTTAGGTGATCGACGGTTGTGGGAGTGAGAGTGCTTGCCTCAGGAAGGTGCTGAGGCCCTGTTGGGTGGGAATCGATGGCAGCGGCTCGGAGGAGGGAGAGCAGTATTGTTACCTAGTGTTAGGAACACATCCATCCAGCACCATGAACTGCAAACAAGCAGAGTAACCCCACTGTCCTTCAGATACTGTTGCTGAGCAGTGACCTAATCAATGAGGTGCTGTCTGGACGGCAGGTGCATGTGTAATGCTGACCTCTTGCTCAGTGTCTGGAAGAGGTACTGGTGACTCCCGGCTAATGCTAGGGGTAGCTCCCGTGCAGGAGCAGTCAGGCTCTTGCAGGGCCTGTGTGGTATCGTCAGTTTTCTCTGCATTTACCCAGCCCCTCTGAATTCTGAAAAGTGCGTCCAAGAGTCTTGGACTCCTTGACTCACTTAACCCTTGTTCTTGTGTGCAGAAAACAATTCTCAGTGAGCCATGCACAGCGTCAGAAGGGGAAGCCCTGGAGCAGACCCTGGGAGAAGTTCTGTGGGGCTGGATGCTAATTATTCAGTTACTGGATTGTGGGAAAATTCCAGGGGAGGTCCCAGAGGAGGGACCGGGCAAAAGCTAATTACCAAGCAGTACAAAAATAATGTATATTTCTTTCCTTTTCTTTTTTTGAGATGGAGTCTTACTCTGTCACCCAGGCTGGAGTGCAATGACACGATCTTGGCTCACTGCAACCACCGCCTCCTGGGTTCAAGCGATTCTCTTGCTTCTGCATCCCAAGTAGCTGGGATTGTGGGTGCCCACCACCACACCTGGCTAATTTTTGTATTTTTAGTAGAGACAGGGTTTCACCATGTTGGTCAGGCTCGTCTCAAACTCTTGACCTTAGGTGATCTGCCAGCCTAGGCCTCCCAAAGTGTTGGAATTACAGGTGTGAGCCACCATGCTGGGCCAAAAATCATACAAATTTTAACAAGCAGTATGACCATGCCTGTGCACATGGGCTTCATTATCAGTCTGACTGATTCTTCCTTCCAAAATGATGGCAGAGGATCACCCCTTTGGATGTTTACAGCTCTGAGCAAAGCAAAAAGCATTTAGATGCCATTGTCTGAATGCAAAACCAGCCCTGCCAGGTTGTCAGCGTGGTTTCTGAGGAGGGAGCACCTCTCCTGAGAAAGGTGTTTCCGGCACAGTGCCTCTTTTGTTCATTCCTGTGCAACAGGAAGTTTGGCTCTGCTGAGTGTTGCAAGCAAAACTCTCCTGTTTGTTTGTTTCTGTATGCTCACAGACTTGGACAGCAGACAACACTGGAGTGTCCACTTACTGCAGCCAGATGGTTTTATTTCACTCTTAGCATGTGGGAAAGAATTCAGAAGGCAGATCCAAACCTTCAATGAGATCTCTGAAGCTTAAGTGATTCCCACCCTTGGTCCCTTAATGTGTGAGCCACAGCATAGAGTGTCTTCAGCTCTGGGACAAACCCAAGTGTGAGGTATAGTCCCTGCTGTCCAGAAGATCCTAGGTCTAAGTGGGAAGACAAAACCGGCACTTGTGAAACAATTAGAGAGTAATTAAGTGCCAAAGTATGTGGCAGCATCTGCTAGCTCAAAGAAGATAGCTAGTGCGGACTGACTAGGAAAGGAAGCGAGGGCTTCACAGAGCCAGCTGGTGTTCAGCTTGACTTAAGAATGATCATCAGGGCTGGACCAGGCCCGGGGAAGGAAGCATGAGGATATATGAAGCTCAGAATAAGCAAAGGAACTTGCTGCCCAGAGCCAATCCAAATTCCTGCCTTCCAGGAATTCTGGCTATGGGTCCTACCACTGTCTTCCTGCACCTAGCCATACTGTCCTCCTTAAAGGATTCTAACCATGCCTTTTTGTTTTGAGATGGAGTCTCACTCTGTCACCCAGGCTGGAGTGCATTGGTGCGATCTTGACTCACGCAACCTCCGCCTCCTGGGTTCAAATGATTCTCCTGCCTCAGCCTCCCAGGTAGCTGGGACTATAGGTGCATGCCACCATGCCTGGCTAATTTTTGTATTTCTAGTAGAGACAGGATTTCACCATGTTGGCCAGGCTGGTCTCAAACTCCTGACCTCAGGTGATCCACCTGCCTTGGCCTCCCAAAGTGCTGGGATTACAGGCGTGAGCCACCACACCCGGCCTGACCATACCTTTTTGGTGTGCCTTCTTCACTTTATGTCTGCTCTCCTGCACTCAAGTTGCTCTGCTGAGCAATCCTCTACATTTTTTAAGAAGCAGCTCAAATAGCACTTTCTCCAGTGGAGACTTCCCTGGCTGGCCCCGACCACAGCCTTTGAGCAGAGTTGGAGGGTTCCTGCTTTGTCCTCCATTGCTCCTTGCATAGACCTCTGCTGAAGCTTCGCATTGTCCATAGGAGTTAAGGGGTCTTTGGCCCTCTCACTGAAGCAGAGCTGTGTCTCACTTACCTAGGGATCCCCTGAGCCAAATTTGGTGTCTGACACATCAGAGGCATTTGATAAATGATTCTTGATTGAAATTCAAGCCCATATAGGGAAGAGTGAAGTGCTCCACCAACTTGGAGTAGAAGGTTTGGGCTATGTGTTATAAGGAGTCTCAGACTGGATAAATTAGATGGCACCAATTCCCAGAGGCCTTGAGGAGTTTTAAGGTAATGTCATGGTGGTGCTGAAAACTCTTAGCACTCCCTGCTGCGTTCACTATAGAGTTCTAGAGTCTTCTTGATCTGGCCCCAGCATATCCTCTTTAGCCTCATCTTCCACCAGCTCCCACCTTGAGCCCACAAGTCTACCTTCTGAGTCACTCCAGTCCCAGGGAGCTCCCCAGACCTGGGCTCTCTCTTCTCCTTTGACCACGTTGTTTGGCAGCCTTAGCCAGGAATGCCTACTGCTCTCCCTAGCTAATTCCTGATCATTAGGACTCCAGATCTGAATCCCCTATGTGTAGAGGCCCCTCAGGCTGGGTTTTCAAGTTCTCCTCTGTGCTCCATAGCACTCTGCACAGCCTCTAACGGCATTTATCACACCCTCTTATGGCTCCTGGTTACTTGGCCATCTCCCTGCTGGTTAGCTCCCTGAAGGCAGTGATTGGATTAATCCTGATGTATCCCCCATCAGCTAACATTGTTCCTAGAAGATGGTGCCCAATAGTGTGCATTGGATGGTAGGCTGAACCAGGGTAATAAAAAGATCAGAAGAAGGACAAATCTACAGACATCTGAAAGGGGAAAGCTAGAATTTGGTGATTAGTTATATACAAAGAGTGTATTAGTCTGTTCTCAAATTGCTAATAAAGACATTCCTGAGTCTGAGTAATTTATAAAGGAAAGAAGTTTAATTGACTCACAGTTCCACATGGCTGGGAAGGCTTCACAATCATGGTGGAAGGCAAGGAGGAGCAAAGTCACATCTTACGTGTCGGCAGGCAAGAGAGCATGTGCAGGGGAACTCCCATTTATAAAACCATCAGACCTCGTGAGACTTATTCATTATCATAAGAACAGCCAGGGGAAGACCCGCCCCCATGATTCAATTACCTCCCACTAGGTTCCTCCCAAACACATGAGAATCATGGGAGCTACAATTCAAGATGAGATTTGGGTGGGGACACAGCCAAACCATATCAGAGTAAGGGGCAAGTTTCCTTAAAACCTACAAGGCAGGTGGAGATGGTATCCTGCAGGGGTAGGATTCTCTGGCCTGGGGAGAGGTCCACTTATATGTCTCTGAGTGTTTATGCAAAAATGTTTTTGTTTCCTGAAGGATTTTCAAAATTTAAAATATTAAGTCATTTTGAGACATATTGAGTCTGATGTTAAAATGGGAATGTCCTAGAGTCAACTGAAATACACACTTTGAGTACAGGTGACGTCAGGCCTAGAAAAAGATTTTGGGAGCATGATGGCAACAGTTTAATTTGTGAAAGCAAATGTAGTCACTGAGGGAAGAAGCATAAAGCAGAGAACAAGGTCTTGGGGAAAACTGGAAGCTGTGGAGGTGGGAAAAAGAAAAGGACTGTTGGAAAGTGGAATGACAGAAGGATAGGGAAAAAAATCAAGAGGCCAAAAGAAGAGATATTTCAAAAAGAAATAGGTGGCTAAAGCTGTCCAATGCTTAAAAAAAAAAAAAACAAGGAGATTCAAAAAAGAGAGAAGAGGCTGGGTACAGTGGTTCATGCCTGTGATACGTTGGGAGGCCAAGGCAGGAGGATTGTTTAAAACCAGGAGTTCAAGACCAGTCTGGGCAACATAGTGAGACCCGCCCCCCCCATACACACACACACACAAATTTTAAAATTAGCTGGGCATGGAGGCACATGCCTATAGCCCCAGCTATTCCTGAAGCTGAGGTGGGAGGATCACTTGAACTCAGGAGTTCCAGGCTGCAGTGAGCTCTGATCCCAGCACTTCACTCCAGTCTGGGTGACAAAGTGAAACCTGCTCTCAAAAAAAAAAAAAAAAAAAAAAAAAAAAAGCCAGACCTGAAGAGGTTACAGAGAGGCTAGTTACTGAGTTACTGGGCAGTGGAAATATTGGGTGGTGATTTTCAACTTCTCTGAGGAATTTGACCATAAAAGAAAGAAGGGAGGAGTGGTCTGCTCAAGAGAAGGTGTTCTGTTTGTTTTATGGTAAGAGAGACGTGCCTGCCTTTGATCACACTAGGGAAGGAGCCCATTTATGCTAAAGGAATATAGATAAATATTTATGTTGTTCACATTGGTTGTATTTTATGTAAATCTCCCTCTCCTCTTTTCCCCTCCCCTGCAAGTGTCACATAGAACTTTCTTTCTGGGGAATTGCCAAAGTCATGGTATTGCTAAATCCAGTGACAGGGTGTTGCAACACTGAAATAATTGGTTCTCACCTCACTGGCCTGTAATAAGCTTCCCTCAAACACTTCCAGACAATTTTCCTTCCTAATAGTGCTAGCCAGGCATTTTCTCTTTTACTGTGCACAAATTAATCACAGCAATAATAGCAAATGCATAGATAGCACTTACTCTGAGCTAGAGACGATTCTGAGTACCTATGAGGGGTAAATGGTGAACCAGTATTCAAGCTCAACATATCTGGCTTCAGGGTCCATGCATGTAAACCACTATACCAAATTCAAGATAAGTAAGTTTGTATTTTACCATAGATTGATGTTCATGTTCTTGACACTACTACAAGATTCAAAGTCCTGAAGCTACTGACCACATGGCTTGTCCACAGTGACCAGACCAAGTATCTCTCTGGACACAGATTCACTGTGGGTTGGACTAGCTTTAATAGTGAATAAGGCCAGTCCTGATGGTGCATGTCTATAATCCCAGCACTTTGGGAGGCTGAGGTGGGCAAATCTCTTGATCTCAAGAGATGGAGACCAGCTTGGGCAACATGGCAAGACCCGCTTCTACAAAAAATAGAAAAATTAGCTGGGCATGGTAGCATGTGCCTGATAGTCAACAAGAAATCTGCCACATGCAAAGTATTGCAAGGGACCAGAAAATATAAGCTATATTTTCCATCTCATTTACTCTCCATAACCATCCCGTTTTGTAGTCAGGGAAACTGGATTTGAACTCAGAAGACCATAATAAAGGTAAAACCAAAAGCCACTTTTAGTCCTGAGTTTCTGTGATCTGAGACTCCTCCTCGTCTTGGTCAGATATATAACTGAGTCCAGATAGTTTCAAGACTACTTTTTATTTTTTTTCCCAACCTGTGAACCAAAAGGGTAGTGCATATGAATCTCTAGCATGCACAGATGTACAAGAAACACTGCCTGTCTTCTATATTCTAGATCTTAATATTGATTGAGAGCCTTCATCTCATCTGGCTGGCAACCAGAGAAACCACCCCAGGTTATGCCACTGTGTCACAATTTCAGATCTTTTCTGCACTGCCACAATCCCAGGGACACGGATGCGGGTGTCTCCTGCTCCCGCATCTGGTCCACTCAGGTTGCCACTGAATGCACTCTTGTGCCTGTCTTGCCTAGCAAGTCCCCACTGCTTCTAGACCACATAGCTAACTCACTGGGGTCCTGCCAGAGTCTGTCTTCCAGGTACCCACAAACCCCTTTTCCCTTCCTGTCTTCCTATTTCTAGAAGCATGCCTCTCTGCTTCTACCCACCGGCACCCCCCCACCTCACTTCCCCCAACTTGGCAAAGCCTCTGTGGCCCCAACCTAAGGCCTTGTTTGTGAAATGGAAGCCAGAAGAACCTGCAGGCTATTCCTGGTAGGGTTCTGACGTATACCTGCCCTGGGGCAATGACTAGGGAGCTGGCTGCAGAGGTGGAGGTGAGCCTGGGAAAGTAGAAATACAAGGAGAGGGGGAAAAAAAAAGTTGTCTAATCTCAAAATATCTAGCCACAGTCACAAGCTCCTCTGAGAGTAATTTCTTGAGGCAGGGAAAAAAGTTGCTATTTAAAGCTAGGATATATGTAGATCCATTTTTTATTGGTACATTAATAACATTATTGTCCACTATGTATCTTGAAGATCTTCTGTAACAGCCTTGCAAATTTGCCAGAATGAAGAAGGAATGTTCTGCTCCAGGGAGGATCGACCCTGGTCTGTGATTGCTGTCATGACAGTACTCAGCAAGTTTCCTTAGATAACTTTAGAGTTAACAAGGATGTAAAAATGCTTCCAATTCAGACTCACCATTATACATATGCAGAAACTGAGGACAACAAAAGTTAGGCTTGTCTAGGACGCTCAGACTGTGGCTGAAGGAGGACAGAACCAAGAATTATCCCCTCCCAGCCTGGCACTTTTGCCATGGTCTCGTGTATCTTGGAAGTAACCACCACTAGCAAGTTGGAGCCAAGTCAACTAGCTGAGGATGTCGGAGCCTCAGATGTTAATTTTCTAGTTGAGAATATTGGCGTTGTCTGAACCTGGAGACAGGTAAGGATGTTCACTTTCTGGGCAAGCTACCTTTTCCCGAGGATTTTAAATGTTATGCTAGTTGTTATTTTTTAATAATCATTCAGACACAATTATTTCTTTCAATCAGATGCTTTAAAATTGTGTGCTAAAGAGTTATAATGTGCAGACAACGGGGAAGCCATTCTGAACCTAAACCATGTGGGTTTTCAACATAACTGTTTTCAGAAAATCAGCGTCTTTACTTGCTGCTGTTTTTGTTGTTTTGTGGGGCTGCGAATCACCACCTACAGACAGTAAAGAAAACGGGAAGCTTTCAGGAAATTTCTCACTCATGCCAAAGAAACAAAATCACCCCAGTGCCTCGAGAATTTCCTTTCCCTCTCTCACTTTCCCCTTCAGTGGCTTCTAAAGGGAAAACGTTTCTGGTGTGGTGTCGTTGCGTAAATGATGGCTGCCTACTTCAGCAAGCAGGAGCTGGTGGAGTATTAAGCATGGGTAGCTGGATCTTCTGGTTTGGGCACTGGAGGGTCCTTGGAAGCCAGAAGCAGGCTGTTACTGCCGGGGGTGGGGGCTGGGGAGGTAGAAACTATGACTGCTGCGATTTTATAGGCAGTAAACTGGTGCTCAGAGAGGTTCAGCACTTGCCCAAGCTCACACACCTACTATGCTGTGGAGCTAGGATTTGAATCCAGCTACAAATTAAGTTGTCATCGTAATGTCTAAAAGCACTCTATTGCGCAAGCAATAGGAACTTACCAGCGGACCTTGCAGCTCCTCCCCGCCCCGCTGGGTTCTCCCGCCGCGGCTCCGCGGGCTCCTCCCCTCGGTCCCCGCCCCTTTTGCGCCCCCTGCTGGTCTCCAGGGAAAGCGCCTCTCCTGAAACCAGAGAAGTCCACGCAAGCTGTCCTGTTTCCTTAGCTCCTAGGAAAGCGATATGACCCTTCCATCCCCCCTCCTCAAAGCCTCACATGAATTTTCTTTGAGGTACTCTCCGATGCTTCACCCTTAAGCGCTGAGAAAAATTCCGGGGCGGGGGGGGATGCAATGAATGTATTAATATAGCCCCTTCTTAAAACCGATCATGCAGCATCTTGGTCATGCCTCATCCTGGGAGAATGAGGCAGCTCATGTGGGCATGGGGATAGTGAGCAGGGAGACGAATTACAGGCTCTTTGGTCCTCACTGTTGACAGTGTGGTCAGTGGACCAGCAGCAGCAGCAGCATCACCTGGGAGCTCGTTAGAAATGCAGACTCTCAGGTCCCGCAGCCCCAACCTTGATGAATCAGAATCACTGTTTCAAGGAGGTCTCGGGACGTTTCAGGTTCTGAACTCGCTTTGAGGCTCTGCGGATGTTTTGCAGCATATTCAATTTTGATTTTGTTTAAAGGTCACAGTGACAACTAAGTTTGCAGCTGCATTCAAATTCGAGCTCCACAATGTAATAAATGTGAGACCTTAGGCAAGTGCTTAACCTCTCTGAGTTAATCATTTATAAAATAATGAAAAGCACTGTAAGTCAACTCTTCAGCCTTCAGGACATCGTTCATCGAAATCTGAAACCCAATAACTGCGCACTGTCTTCTAACACAGCCATAATTTATCTAGAGGTACTGCTTAGAAATGTCTCACTCTGATGGTGACCTTAGTTCTATTTGTCCTTAGAGATCCACAGGATGTTTTGTCTGGAAGTTCTGTGCTCACTGGATAATAGGGACAGTGGAATTGTCCTCATCATTGTGCTCGAGTCCTTGGAAACCAAATGACCCCAGAAATGTCACGAAAGAGATCTTTAGGTCCCAGAGGAATTGAATGGCTTAGACATCGACTTTCTGAACAAGAGGCTGGGCCAGAGATTTCTTAAGATCCCTTCAGCCTTGGTGTTCTATACACCTTGATTTACAAAATGGTCTTGATCTTTCCCAATTAAAATTCTGTTTAGTAGAGATACACAGCAAGATTTCAATTCTTCCACAAGAAACCTGCTGTATGGCACAGAAAAATATCTGTGTAATATTTTTTGTTTCTTCTTCTTAATTAGTTTTTTTATTCTCCCTTAGGAAAGCAAAAAGCTCTTTCTCCTGACTTACCAAAAACTAAAATACTGACTACTATCACTGTGCTGAGATTCCTAGTCTCAGGAACTGAAGTCTTTAAACAACCAGGGGACCCTCTGCCCCTAGAGTAAGAACATATTAGAAATCCCCTCTGCTAGCACAAGGAGGTAAGTGCTTCTGGTAAAAAAGTATCATGTGTGTGTCTGTCTGTGTGTATGGTACATACATATGTACAAATATACATACACATGTATGTGTATTTGAGATAGGGTCTCTCTGTTGCCCAGGCTGGAATACAGCAGTGTGATCATAGTTCACTGCAACCTTGAACTCCTAGGCTCAGGGGATCCTCCTGCCTCAGACTCCCAAATGGCTTGAACTACAGGTACACACCAGTATGCCTGGCTAATTTTTCTATTTTTTGTAAAGACAAGGTCTCAGTATGTGACCCAGGGAGGTGTTGAACTCCTGAGCTCAAGCAATTCGCCCACCTCGGCCTCCCAAAGTTCTGGGATTACAGGCGTGAGCCACCATGCCCAGTCATATCTTCAAAATATTAATGGGGAAAAATATTGCTGGGGTACAAAGTTGTGCCAAGTTCTACAGAGGGATCGAGACCAGCCTGGGCAACATGATAAAACCCCGTCTCTATTAAAATACAAAAAATCAGCTGGGCATGGTGGCGTGCACCTGCAGTCCCAGCTACTGGGGAGGCTCAGGCAGGAGAATTTCTTGAACCCAGGAGGCGGAGGTTGCAGTGAGCTGAGATCATGCCACTGCACTCCAGCCTGGGTGACAGAGCAAGACTCCATCTCCAAAAAATGAGTGCCTGCCCTTCCAGACTTACAATCTAGTGGAGAAGGCATAATTTAATAAAAATGCCATGATGGAGATGTACCCAGAACGTCAAGGGAGGGAGTTAAAGAGTGCATGTAGGCCAGGTGGAGTGGCTCACACCTGTAATCCCAGCGCTTTGGGAGGCCAAGGCATGTAAATTGCTGGATCCCAGGAGTTCAAGACTAGCCTGGGCAACATGGTAAACCCTTTCTCTACCACACACACACACATAAAAATTAGTTGGGCATGGCATGGTGGTGCAAGCCAGTAGTCCCAACTACTTGGGAAGCTGAGGTGGGAGCATCGCCTGAGCCCAGGGGTTCATGGCTGCAATAAGCCCTGATCACACCACAGTACTCCAGCCTGGGCAACAGAGCGAGCCTTTGCCTCAAAACAAAAAGAAACCAGTGCATGTAGAACTGTTAGGATTGTCTCATGGGAGAAGTGGCCTCTGAGGTGGCCTTTGACAGGTGAGTTGGGATGACATGAGTATTCCAAGTCCCCGGACCAGCCAAAGCCGAGAGATCAGGTCAGGGGCAGATTCCGAGAATGGCAAGTTAGATCTCCAGTGATGGGATGCAGTGTAGACACAGCCAGGAAGGCAGGGTGGCTGGAGTTTCCCCCTCTGTGAAATGAGAGGGTTCAAGCGCTGAGGGCCTCTCTAGTCAGCCATTCCAGAATTCACTTACAGTCTGTGGTAGGGACCCTGAGGTCATCCTGAAGAGTTTGAGTGATATGGACATAAGGAGCCAGTGTAGACTTCTGATCAGAGCCATGCTGTAGGAAGCCCCCTCAGATAGCAAGTGAGGGATGAGTGTCAGGGTCCGGCTTACTCTGGGAGACCAGCGAGGTGGTCTCTTCCACATCTAGAGAGGAGGCAGTGGAGTCTTGCAGCCGAGCAGTGGCTGAGAATTGGAAGAAGGGGAATGGATGCTGGAGGCATCCTGATGTGAAATTCACAGAACTGGCTGCCAGTTCTGTGATGCCCTGCTTGAGGATTCTTCCAGCTGGGAATTAAAAAACCAGTATGACCTCACCCTCCTGGTTCGATTTAAAGGATATATACACTGGAGACAGAAATAAAGATCCATGAGCAAAGATGAATATGAGGCAGTGTCTGAGCAGTGAGAAGGGTCTCCGAAACGCTGTAGCCCTAAATGCTCCGAACTTGGGGGAAATGCTACAAATATGCAAACTGGCTTTTAAGCTCTGTTCAGATCAGGAAGAAGGAAGGAACAAACTCATTCTCAGAAGCAGATGGTACAGTGGTATAATACTAGCAGATAACCACTCCCTGGCAGGAGAGAAGTGATGACCCAGGTAGGAGAGGAAGAAGCAAGCAAGTGACATAGGGCTGTTCTGAATCTGCCCAAGTCCTCAGACCAGCCCATCCAAGCAACCCAGAGAACTCTGCACCTGGCAGCCTTTTCTGCAGGGCCATGAAGAGGGAGGCAGGCATCAGGCAGGATGTGAGCAAATTCATTCATTCAGCAGATATTTGCCAACCTATATTCTAGGTGCTGGCGACATGGTGAACCAAAGAGAACCAAACAATACCTGGCCTCCAGAACGAAATACTGATTCACAAAACAGGCCACCGGTGGGCTTTTAAACCACAAACCAGTGAGCTTGACAGCAACTGTGCACCAACTTCTAGAGGAGATTTAGTAGGTGGTCTGCAGCTCTGTGGAACCATCGGGGGATCCCTGTCTCACAGCCTGTGTTTCTGAATGGCAAGTCACAGAGGACTCAGCTTGTTTCCAACCTGACAGGGTTACCCTTTTCTAGAAACTCTAGGAATTTGGCAGGGCATTTGACAGTCTCTCAGGGGATCCCCAACCCCCACCCATGGCTAATCGAACAAAGACTGCCCATAAAAGTACACCGTAAAAGGGAAATTTAGGCTACACTTAATAGACGTGCTTTGTATTATGGAATCATAAAGACCTAGAGAGGCAAACAGACCTAATGAGACCACCGAGCGCCAGTAAATAAATCAACCATTCTGCAGGGCACAGAAGCCTCATGTGCTGATTCTCTGAGCCCTCTTTAGAGAACAGTAGTCAGTTGTCAGACTTTTACCCTGCCGTGTTAATCCCCGATGCTAATGACTGTTGCTGCTCAGGCGTGTGATGGGTCTGAGGACGTGGGTAGGAGCTCGCTTTCCATTTTGCTCACATGAACGGACTGCCTGTTCCTGGCGGCGGAGTGCATTTTGCACTCATGTTTGTACAAGTGAGCTGCCCTCCCTCTCTGACCGCGTTAGCCTGAGTGTGAGCTGCCTGGGGCCCAATCACACCTGCCTGACCCCAGCTTCCCCTCCCAGGGGTGCTGCTGGGTGCTGCCGCCCCCACCCGGACTACGGCAGAGCCCTCGTCTCGGGCGCCGCTCCTGACACGGTGTCCCGCCGGCGGATGACAGGTAGAGGGCAGTAGCGCGCTCCGGGTCGGGAGTCCGTCATCCAGAAACCCACTGCAGGTCCGCTGCGGAGAGGGCCGGGGCCAGGTGGGCTGGAGGCGAGGGCAGCCCGGTACAGGGGGGGATCACTCTGCAAGAGGAAGAGAAAGAGGAGACGTGGAGAAGTCGCGCAGAGCACACGGCGTATTGGACTCTGCACACTGGTCTGGGCCCCAGTGTGCCTGGCGCGTGGTTTCTGCGAGTGGAGCCCAGACGTCAGGTGTAGCCGTGCAGGAGGCTGGCAGATGGGCTGGAGGAGCAAGGAGGCACCGCGGTTGGAGGTGTCGAAAGAGGGTTTGAAAAGAAAGCCCGGCGGGCCTGGAATGGTGGGGAGGCATGAGGAGGCTGACATCATGAAAGGCAGGGACGGCTTCAGGGCACTCTCAAGGCCATCAGAGAATGGTGCCGAAGTGAGCACGCACAACAGCTGGAGGGGGCGGCCGTGCGGAGGGTCGGAGAGAAGGCCCTCCGGTCAGCGGTAGAGGGACATGACTGCAAGTTGTCCACGTTCTTGGAGTTTTGAACAAAGAATTGGACAAACCGCCCAGCAAAGCAAAGAGAGTGAAGCAACAAAAGAACAAAACCAGGGATTTATTGAAGACGAAAGTACCCTCCGCAGTGTTGGGGCAGACCTGAGCAGCGGCTCAGGGGCCCAGACATAGAATCTTCTTGGGTCCAAATACCCCCTAGAGGTTTCTCATTGGCCACTTCATGATCACCTTATGTGAATGAAGTGGTGGCCTGCAATCAGGCTGATTGGTTGCAGAAAGCAGCCGACCAGAGGCTGAACTGAAGTTACAAACGTTGCGCTCCTGTGCAAATATCTGATTGGTTGCAAAAAGCAAATATCTGATTGCTTGCAAAAGGCAACCAATCAGAAGCTAGGAGAAAGTTACAAAGTTTTATTTCTTTGCAAATGAAGACTCCGCCGGCAATCAGTCTCATTGGTTGTGGACAACAGCCATTCAGAGGCTGGAGTGAAGTTGCAAAGTTGCAAAGGAAGACACGTGCAATCAGTCTGATTAGTTGTAGACAGCCAATTTTCCATCTGCTGTGCAGAAAATGTCAAAGGGAGTAGCCTTTGGTCCTCTTGTTACTTAGGCGTGGAAAGTGAGGGTTTTCCTTTCTATTTAGTTGTAGGAAGTCAGCGTGAAACAGCCTTAGGTTCCCTGCCTCCACACCCTTTTCTCCTGCCTCACTTCCCACATCGTTCCACTGTCAGGAATAACCGGCTCTGGGGGTAAGGTGGACCTCCAGGTGAAGATGAAGGTAGAAAGGGAGGAGAGGCTGAGAGGCTGACCTGCCACTGGGACCCAGGGCCAAAGCCCTTTGTGATTGAGGGTAAGTGACCACAGATCAGCAGGGGATGACTGAGAGACGCGCTGGAGCAGGACCGTGGCCCTGAACAACACATCAGCCATGCCCAGAGATGCCACGCTTAGAGGTTAACATGCAGTACACAGAGCTGCGTGGCCTTAAGTTACTTAACTTCTCCGGCTTCAGTTTCCTCATCCGTAAAATGGTTACCTAAAGTCATGGTATCCAGTAATAGTACCTACAAAAGACTGAGAGGATGAGGGAAGGGAGGGAGCTCCCAGCTGTGTGGGGAGGAGCATACAGGCGGGGGTAACCCACCATATGGCATTACAGGGATTGGTGTCTATTTCTGTCCTCCCTCCAGTCTCTAGCCTCGTGGTTCTCAGGCATAGGTATGCATCAGAATGACCCAGATGCATTAAAAAAACACTGCCAGGCCCCAGCCCCCAGAGCTTCTGATTCAGTGGGGCTGAGGTAAGGCGCAGTAATTTGCATTGCTCGCTAAGCCCAGGTGCTGCTGCTCCTGCTGCTGCTGCTGGTTCTGGGACTGCACTGTGGGCACCACTGCTCTGGAGTCTCTACAGCCCCAGCAGGGACTCTTGTTGAGGAATGACGGGCACATAGTGGGAACCAGGCCTCGGACGAGTAACACTAAGACCAACAAATTTCCAGATACAGCACAAGAAGAGGTAGTGCTGAATGAAAAGGCGATCACTCCAGCAGAGCCTTAAAGTCTTAGTGGTTTATGAAGGAAGTTAGAATTGCACCTGGGGAGCAAGTGCTGAGGTTAACGGCAGTGCAATCCCGCATCCGTTTTATTGGCACTGTTGTCAGAGGCAGAATGCTGGGCTGGAGGGGTGGCTCTAGCAATGTTTTGAACTTGACAATGCCCATTTGTTGGGCATGGTTCCAGTGGGATGCTGTATTGTGCATCTAGAGAATGTATTTGTCCTGGAAGAGTTCACTTTGTCCACTGCCCTCGAGCCTTTATCCAAGGCTAAACCCGCATTCTGTACTCACATTTGGAATTGGTCCAGGATTTTTATACCTGTGTGAATTTGGAGAAACTCTCCTAGACACCCATTTGGAAATGAATTCATGTTTTTTTCAGACAGTGAGTCCTCCATGCTTGCTGTTCCAATGGCCCTCCAGGTTTGGGCCCCGCACCTGCCAGGAGAAGTGTTCCTTCTGTAGCTCCACCTGACCACAGCCAGCCCAAGCCCCACGCAGAACCCGGGCCTGCCAACAAGCCTGTGACTGGTGTTATCTGTTAGGCATCAAGCATTAACTTGGCACAGGAGCAGCCCTGGCTCAGCTGGAGGCACCCACAGTGTGTAGGCGCTCCAGGAGCAGAGGCACCCCCGAAATGCAGGCTGTGTTTGCTGCAGAGATACCATGGCCCATAACTCCCCAAGTGAAGGTGAGCAGCTCTGCTGTCCAGGCAATTAAGTCAAGAAAGAGAACCGGCCCAGCTAATGGCTCGGATTAAAGCTAAATGAATTCCGCTCAAATGAAAGGGATACTGACCCTTCTCCCTCTGGCCTCATTATCTTAATTAACAGTGCTTGGCAGGAGTCTTGAGGCCTGCATTGATTGTGCTGTTTCTGTTTTTCCCCCTCAAAGCCCTAGATACACGTTAAATCAGCCTTAATAATGAAATCCCAATACTCAACAGCCCTCAGATTTTCTCACCAGCCCTTCTTCCTCTAAGAGAATCACCTGATTTCTGAGCTGGAGGGGGTCCATTAGGCCAGCACTTCTCAAAGCATGGCCTGAGACCACGAGCATCAAAGTGACTGGGATACGGCTCTAACATGCACTTTCCAAGCCTCAGAGTCCTGTGGAACTGGAATATTGGTAAGTCAGGTTTGGGTATCTGTAGTGAGTTTTTTGGGTTTAATTTAGTGTTTTAAATTGTGGTAACATGGACATAAAATATATACCTCATATAAGTGGATTCATATAATACGTGTTCTTTTGTAACTGGCGTATTTCACTCAGCATGATGTCTTCAAAGTTCATCCACCTTGTACCATGTATCAGAATTCCGTTCCTTTTTAAGGCTAAAAATATCCCATTATAAAGACAACAGATTCTCTTCATTTATTCATTCATTGGTGGACATTTGGGTTGTTTCCACCCTTTGGCTATAGTGACACTATTATGAATATTGGTGTGCAAATATCTGTTGAGTTTCTGCTTTCAATTCTTTTGTGTATACACCCAGAAGCAGAATTGCTGGGTCATGCGGCAGTTAGTTCTGTGTTGCATTTTTTGAGTCAGTACCATTTTTAAGCAGCGCACGTGGTTCTAAGGTGCAGTCAGAGTTGCAGCTAGAAGACCAGGTGATCAGATTGTCTGCTGGTGGAATCACCTGAAGACTCTGAACAACCCCGGATGCCCAAGCCACACCCCACACCAACTAAATCAGCTTTTCTCAGTGGGACCCAGACATTTGTATTTTTTAAAGGTCCTCTGGTGATTCCAGTGTGTGGCCAAGGTTGAGAACCATTAGTTTCCATAGGTGATTCTCAAATTTTAGTGTGTATAAAATTCACACAATGGCTAGGGATACAGATTCCTAGAGAGCACCCCCCCACCTGCAAACCCAAGAGGCTCATTTAATGCGTCTGTGGTCAGCCTGGGCTTCCTGGGTCCGAAGACTTCCCAGGTGATTCTAATGTGTAGCCAAGGCTGAGAGCTACTAATCTTGTTTAGTCTTTCAATGAAACATGAGAACACTGAGTCTGTGAGAGGTGACACACTCTGCCCAAGTCCTGGAGCTCTTTAGGGCCTGAGTCTGCACTCAGGCCCAGGGCTGATTTTCAAGACAGTCCCACGGGTTCTCCATACTCTGCCTCACAGGTGCCAGGGGTAGAATCTTATATAGAACCCGCATCTTTTCTGCTCTTAATTTGAACTGTAATCCTTGAATTAGAGTACTGTTGATGCTGCTGTAAGGCTTGTGTTGGAATTTAAATTTGTTTCTAACATGATTGATGTTTTAGGGAACAATATTAACGTGTTAGGGAAATTATTGATATGCTAGAGAATAATATTAACATATTCAAGAATGTGAATTCACGTTTGCTTATGTGCAATTTCTTGCATGTAAAGGCAGAAAACTGCACCCAGCTAAACCAAGCCACAAAAGAGTACGCAAAATACACCTCCAATATTAGTTGGCTACCTCATTCTCCATGTGTGATTTGAGCCACATGCACCCACATCTGTTGCTGTAACTTCCCCTCTGATATCAAATAACCCTTCTTCCCCCATTCACAGTAAGTCACCGGTCGGGTGCGGCGGCTCATGTCTGTAATGCCAGCAATTTGGGAGGAAGTTTGAGTCTAGCTTGGGCAACATGGTGAAACACCATCTCTACTAAAAATACAAAAATTAGCTAGGCATGGTGGTGCACACCTGTAATCCCAGCTAGTCAGGAGGCTGAGGCAGGAGAATCACTTGAGCCTGGGAGGCAGAGGTTGCAGTGAGCTGGATTGCATTCCATCCTGGGTGCCGGACCTAGACTTCATCTCAAAAAATAAAAATAAAATAACTCACAAGTGGCAGAGCTTCAAATGCCCACTTCCACAAGCAAACTGCAGGTCTTTTTCAAAGTCAAGTGCCGTATTTATTGTAGTACTTATTATGCATTTCTTAAGCATTTAACTTGGCTAAAACTGCTACTATAAGGTGGGGGGCTCCAATCCTTTTT